ACGTATTTGAGATTGAACAGGAGTCTTACATAGATCACGGATGATAGATGGCTCATATAGTACGACGCGTAGATCGAACGTTTGTTATAAAGGAAGAGTAAGATCATGCATGATGGATGGCTAGCACGGCGTCTAGATCGAACGGTTATTATAGAGAAAGAGCCCCCTCAAAAAAAACTCGCTCTTGCTTTTATAGTGTGGTACGACCCAGTAGTCTAGCAGAAATCCTGAAGAGAAATATGACAGATTTAGTAAGCCCTTGTTTAGTTCGTGAAAAGTTTTTCCAAAAAATGCTACAGTACCTAACATATCGAATCTTGCGATACGTGCATGGAGCATTAAATATAGACGAAAAAAACTAATTGCACAATTTGGTTGGAAATTACGAGACGAACGTTTTGAGCCTAATTAGTCCATGATTGGACACTAATTGCCAAATATAAACGAAAGTGCTACAGTAGCCAAATTTTTAACTTTTTGCGAAGTAAACACGAGCTAAATATAATATGTCAATAGATAAGTAGCCAAAGTCTTTTTTTTCTCGGAGAGTAAGCGTCAACTGTGTAGTAGTACTCCAGATTCTACTACACCATGCACACTGGCCGTACCGTTCTTTCCTGGATCTCACCAGATTGCACTGCCGTGCAGGGAATGTTCCCTGGTACCAGAACAGTGCGTGTGCATCATGCGTACAGTAGCCGGCGTACGAAAGTGCAAGTACACTTGTCAGCACGTTCAGTTAGCTGATTCGTTTTGTTGCTAAATCGTAAAAAAATACTGCTGGCTAATTTATGTGAAAGAAAAATACTATTTCAACTAAAAATTTACGATTGTTTACGACCCGCTACGGCTAAACGAAATGGCTGAGGTCAGTGGGCTTGGCCTGCGTGGCGTCCGGACGTGTACTGAAGCTCCCGGTTTCCAGCTGGCCTGCGGGCGCGCGCGGCACCTGTTGCGCAAGCGGGACACCGCAACAAGAACTGCAACTGGGCATGCTGGGTGGCTGGCCTTTCAATTCATCTCACCGAAAGGAAATTAGGCCTGGTTTAGATCAGCTCCAAATTCCAAGTTTTTTCACTCTCTTTCTATCACATCAATTTTTGGACGCATGTATGGAGCATTAAATGTAGGTAAAAAAAATAACTAATTACACAGTTTGGTTGTAAATCGCGAGACGGATCTTTTGAGCCTAGTTAGTCCATGATCGGACAAAGTTTGTCAAATACAAACGAAACGTGCTATAATGTCCAGGTTGCAAAAATTTACAAACTAAACAAGGCCTTAATGTGGTTCCGGGCTTGGGGCCCAGTACGGAAGCGCCTGGCCCAACTGATGCAGATAGAGAGATAGTTGCACTGGCACGGCTCGTGGTGCTATCCATGCTGACATAGGTGTCGGCATGTTTGGTTGTTGACTGTTGAGTCCACCGAACGTTGTATGCAACTCTTATAACTCTTCTAGTTAAATAAAAGAGAGTGGTGTCGTTCAAAAAAACTAATTTAGTTTATTTTCTCATCCAAAACTTAATTAATAAGTTTTATAAAAATGTTGTATATTAGATTTTTTTTTGACAAATAGATCCTTTTTGTAAGTTTTGGATCTATCTGACATCCGTGGTAATAAAAGGACATAAAGTTTAGGCTGCATTTAGAATGGAGGATTTTTTTTTTCCGTTTCATTATTTTTCATATGAAATTCCTACGTTCCAATTAGGCCTTTATCACGTAATACAAAAATTAATTATGTCAAGAATACGTCGGAAAAGACTACCTTGTCTTAGAACTCAAGCGTTTTTTCGGCGACGATGTTGTCTACAGTTTTCTTTGGATCCGTAGCTGTCGCTCCTAATTCCAGTCCCATTACGTACCTACATATCCTATCTGTTTTAAGTTGTAACTTGTAAGTAGTTTTAGTTTTTTTTTTGAAAAGTGTGGAGGTCTGATACAGGTACCCACGACAGACTACATTGGCCGCATCGCAAGGGACAATCCAGCCCACGAGATGATAACTTGCGGCTCGCGGCACAGCTCGACGCACGCCGCAAGACTTTTCGGCGACATCGTGAAGATCATGTAGAATCTGTTAGGATATGCCGAATGTAATATTTCATGTAAATCTTATTTATTACCCGATTAGTTATAGACCTGATAAACATGTAACCCTACCCCGGGCTATATAAGGAGGGTAGGGGACCCCCTCAAAACACACGCAATCATATATGATAGCCAATACAAACCGACGGATACAAGATTAGGGTATTATTACGTCACGCTGACGGCCTGAACCTATCTAAATCTTGTGTCTTGTCACCATCTCGTTCCTGATCTCACTCACCTCTACGACAAATCTACCATCACAGGATACTCCTCGGTGGACTGCCGAGCATCTTTTATCGACAAAAAGCCTCATGCAAGAATTTGCCGGGCATGTATTAATAAAGAAGAAGTATCGTACAACAACAACAACAAAAAACACTATAAAACCACCCACATAGTGGAAGCAACAACATGACACCCACCATAAAAAAAAGCAGCCCACAAAGCCACAAAACAGTGATGAACAAAAGCCACCTTGCACGTCGCAAGGAACATGCAAAGAGCTTGGGTGTGAGGATGGTCCCTACAACGATGCCTCCAAGGAGAAAAACGACATCCATAGATGCCGTCAAACGCCAACCAAGAGACCAAGATTTTTCAACCTAAACCTTGAAGGGTAGACCTCGTGACAATGCCTCCAACGAGGACCGTGGCACCAAAGGCGTCACCATTGCCAGCGTCGACGGAAAGCCGAGCAGGGCTTTCGCCCGAAAGTCTTCCACCCACCAAACTGAAACACCCAGCACAAAGTGTGCCATCGTTGCAACACCAACTTGCCAACGCTATGGTGAGATAATTATTGTATGATTGAACTGTAGCAAAAATTTCATACTCATTGGATCATGTATTGCTTAGTTATAGATTTATTTATATTTAACAAGCATAAACCTGAATAAAATCTATAACTAAGATATATATGATCCAATGAGTATGAAATTTTTACTATAGTTTAAGCATACAATAATTAGCTCACTATAAAAATTTAATCAGAATTGGACCATAGAAACTACAGCTATGAATTATTCAATTTAATTACAGAAAAATATAGATCTAAAGCTACAACAAAAACTTTATACTAAAGCATACCATATTATATGTTCACTGTGTAGATCTACTTATATGAAGTCCAACAAAATTAAATTTTCCATTTTATGATTTTTTCTGTGATTTACTATGATTTTTCAAAGATTCAGCCGAAATAAATAAATAAATAAATAAAGACAACCGCCTTCAAAACCGGGCCAGGGAGGTAAGATGAACGGTTTTAAAAGTTGAGGGAGACGTTTTGCCCGATTTTAGAGTTCAGGGGAAAATGGACTTTCGCGAAAATTGAGAAAGATAATACAGACTTTTTCTAGCTAGAAACATTGAAAGGGCCTCCTGTTTACGGCAATGGGCTCATGCTTCAGCTGGGCCAATCGGCATATAACTCCAACCATGCAATAGTCTTTTTCTTCTAGATATGACCAAAGTTCATTTATTCAAAGAATATGTTTGGTTCCATTAGCACTAAAAATAAACAACTAAAATTAGAACTAGTGGATATAAATAGAGCTGCTAATAAGCATGCTAATTATTACTTGAAGGACTGCTAATTATTAGTTCTATTAGTAGTTTTGGATTGATAATAGGTGCTAATAGTTTATATACACCTTCAACTCACTGTTAAACCACCTACTAGCACAAATAGCCTCCTACTAAAAATTAGAACTAAAAATTAGCGGCTTTTAGATATTAGTTAGCTAATTTAGTGCTAATAGGTTCAAATAGGGAATTTATTCGATGGGCAGACATGACATGTCCACATTGGGATCAGCCGACGTCATAATATGCATCACTCATGAAGTCATGATGTCCATGGTTGTTATGGATCGGGCCAACTAGCCATGAACAAGGCTCCACGGAAAATCCAAATCCATGGCCATGTTTAGTTCCTAAACTTTAGGGTGGCAAAATGCATGTAGCGACACTGTAGCATTTCATTTGTATTTGGTAATAATTGTCCAACCGTTGACTAATTAGGCTCAAAACATTCGTCTCGCAAAGTACAATCAAACTGTGCAATTAGTTTTTGATTTCGTCTACATTTAGTACTTCATGTATGTATCATAAATTTGATGTGACGAAGAATCTTTTTTTTTTACATAGTGTATTTTTTAGGAATTTTAGAGTAACTAAACATGGCCCAAATCCAAATCCAATGCTACCAGAGGCAAGTACGTAAGATTATTAATTAATTAATAACCCTCAAACGCGAATAAATTGAAGCTCTCACGTTGATTCAGCTCCTGTTGGCCACTCTCTACGTGACACGTGCTGCTCTGGCCGGCGAGAGCCTCCGCTTACTGTTCACCTGAGCCCACCCGATCCCTCCGCGTATCTCCGAATGCCGTGTGTCCCGCACATCCAGATGCAAGCCGCTCTTCTCGCGTTATTTTAGGGCGTGTTTAGTTATGTGAAATTTAAGAATTTGGCTACTATAGAATTTTTGTTTTTATTTGATAATTAGTGTTTAATTATGAATTAATTAGGTTTAAAATGTTCGTCTCGTGATTTCCCATCAACCTATATAATTAGTTTTTTTCGCTAATTAATTTAACGCCCCATATACGTATCGCAAAGACGATGTAATAAATATATCAGAAGACTTTTTTTAAAAAACTTTTTAAAACTAAAGCAGACCTAAATAAACAAGACGTTTTTGGTTTGAATTTTTTTTTTCTCAAAACACCAAAGACCAAATGGTAAAACCAACACCACACACACCAAACAAAGGAAAAATCTCCTCCCGTCTCACCTGTTAATTAAAGTAATAAATAAAGAAAGGAAATAAACACCGCGCCTCGACGCCTCCGCAGGAACACGAGGAACACACCGCACCTCGCCGCCTCCGCTTCCGCTCAGATGAAGCGTACGGCCATGCTGGCAGGTACACGCGCAGATCCTCTTCCTCTTCCCCGGCCGCGCCGTGTGCGGATGCCACCACCGGTCCCACTGGCGCCTGCGCCGAGCATCAGGACAGAGAGCACATGGATGGCGATGACGCTTGGGGCGCGGGCAGGCCCGGGGAAGAAGCGCCTGCTACAGGCCACCCTCATCCTCATCTCCGCCGCTAACCATGCGGTTCCCCCAAGGTCTGCCTCGCCGCCGTCCTCGACTACCTCGCCACCTCAGGTTCATGTCTCCTCCTTCATCTTGATCTGGTCTTCGATCTGGACTTGCCTTCAACTCGAGTTGTCCGATCTGGTTACCTATTTTCGTGGCTGCGGCCAATCATGCCAGCCTGTAATGTACTTGGTTTGTCGTGGTGGTATGTACAACTGTTGCTGGGTTGTTCCTATGTCTTGCTTTATTCTGCGCGATACTGCTTACCTCCACTGAGATTGTGTGGTGTTTTGTTTCAGGTTTAGGCTCACTACCTGCTGCGAAGAGAAAAATATTGTGGTGTGCTCCTTGCTAAGTTCCTACCATCCTATCTTTATATTTTATTTTGAAGCCTGTGTTTCTTTATTTAGAATTTACTAGAAAATATGCCTGTGCGTTGTAACGGAAGAACATTTTATTGCGTTGCCGGTGGCACGAGCAGAGATAGTTTCACACTCACCGAGTTACAAATAAGAAGTTGCTAAAATTCTTCTCCAACTAACTTTCCACTTTCCACATTCAGTAGCAAGTTGTTTCCTTCTCTCTCCGGTTTTTTTCGTCACGTGTGTATTTTCTTTGTCCTGGCTCCTTATATCGATTCAGGTCAAGCACGGCCACCATCAACCTGCCGCCATCTACTGATTGGCGAGATGTGTCCGCGCGGCCATTTAGGGCGAGGGTGGGGGTTGCGGCCGGATCTGTTTTAAGCTGTCACCATTGGTTCGCACTCAACTTAATTATCTTTAGACGTGAGTTGTTCTAAGTCGTATATGCACGGCTCATGAGTCCGCATCATATACACAACCCAATACAACTTGGAATCGGACTCCATATCGCGCTAGATGTGAGCTGTTGTAACTCGCATGAGCACGGGTTATATAAGTCTGGATGAAAGAAACTACGCTATTGGGTGGTTAAGGGAAGGTGGACCAAAAAAAAAGGGGCACAAGTAAAAAATTGGAGCATAGTGAGGGTAGATATAGATATAAATAAAAAATTCAGCAAATTAATTACACAAAAGCATAGATCTATAGATACAACAAATTCTTTATACTAAAGCATATGATATTATATGTTTATTGTGTAACCTAGTCAAAAGGAATGTAAAAATACTGGTTTAAAAGAAAAGAAAACAGAAAAGAAAGGAAAAGGGCTGTGTGACTGGGCCATTGGCTTCAGCCCAGACCACAGTGCAGCCAGCCCAAAGCTTAAAAAAAAAAAAAAAGAAGTTTTGTATCAGGAACCCTAAATTTGTTTCTAAAATCGTTTAAGCCCTTTTACTATTTCTTTATCTCTGGTACCTTTGCATCTAGAACGCCGTTATTTATTTCTAATTCCTCCCTTAACTCCTTCTCCTTGTTCCGTAGCTACAATCAAACCACGGTCGGAAGTCACGCCCGATTCCACACGGAGGGGGAGGGAATGGCGAGACCGAGCTACTTTAGGATTAGTAGGTTGGACGAAAATTTAGGGTGGCAAAAATTTTGCCTCTTTAGTATTAGGTATAGATGACATGCGTGCTTGCCTTCATATATACTCTGGTAGACATAATGAAATGCATGGCTGTTTGTGAGATACATATTTGACTACATCAAACCTGTATCTTGATACTGCAAGTTAGCCTTTCCCCTTTTTCCAATGATATTTACTTATGTTTCTGAGATATGGTGATTATCAACTAGGGTTGGTACATATATCTAAATCTATTGCTCTTAGATTTTGTTCCGAAATTTGTTCGGTGCTTATGCTAATTAGCTATTGTTGCATGCTTATACTAATTACCTATTGTTCTATTCCCATGGTATTCCTCAACCAGTGCTTTCTGTGTGACTAGAACAGATGGCCTTCTGTGCACCTTGATGATGAAATTATTTCTTTAATCGTCATATTTAAATTGACTACAACCATTATAGTACGTGCAAGATCTAGACGACATGGTGCTAACGTAATTATATATGTCAGCCAGGGCACGTACATCAGGCAGAGACCATTTGCCAATCATTCAGAAAATAGCTTCTTGTGTTAGTTCCAATATTATTGGTGTATTATGACATTGATTTTTCCCGTGGAGATTTCAAGTTATTATATATTCGTTCATTACAAAGCCTAAAATGGCTTACTATGTTACTTTTCATACTTTAGATTCAGACTATAGAGACTTTGCAATGTTTGTTGACCTCACTGTGCCTGATCAGTTTTTTTGTTTGCCCTAATCTATGGTGGTATGTTGACATTTTCCTGTACATAAGATACCCAGTCGTTGATTAAAAAAAACTCGACCTGTGGGGGTTATGACGGCCCCCGGGTTTTCCCTTTAAGATCTTCTCACATAGATCGGGAAAACCCCTGAACCCCCACCCCCATCCTGACGCAGCGGTATCCGTTGCCCTGTGAGAACCGGGCCGGGCCATAACTGCGCTTTGGCACATGGGGACGGGCGAGGGGATTTTTTTAACCTCAGCCTGAAATTCGCTCCCACGGGGAGTCGAACTCAGGACCTGAGGAATGCCGCTGGGTCACCTAACCGTTTGAGCTAGGCACCCTTTGGCCCAGTCGTTGATTCAGGAAAAAAGATCCTTTCAAGCACTGCCAATCCTAAGCACAGGTAATTTCTTCTACATGTTAGGCTATTGTATTAACATATAATGTAAAATTCATCTGCACCAGTGAGAGCAGTACACTGGTTTTAGATGAAACATGTCTAAAATAACTCTATAAGAAGTACTCTTTCAAACGTATTCCTCTTCCTGTTTGATTCTTTTTACTATCGGCTCCTCATGGATCCTCATTGCAATATTAAGAAGGCCATGTATCATCTACCTCCTTGTGTGGCTGCTATTTTCGAAAGATAGCTTCTATTCATGTGGCTGCCATAATAATGTATATATGTCAGCCAGGTCACGTACATCAGGCAGAGACCATTTGCCAATCATTCAGAAAATAGCTTCTTGTGTTAGTTCCAATATTATTGGTGTATTATGACATTGATTTTTCCCGTGGAGATTTCAAGTTATTATATATTCGTTCATTACAAAGCCTAAAATGGCTTACTATGTTACTTTTCATACTTTAGATTCAGACTATAGAGACTTTGCAAGGTTTGTTGACCTCACTGTGCCTGATCAGTTTTTTTGTTTGCCCTAATCTATGGTGGTATGTTGACATTTTCCTGTACATAAGATACCCAGTTGTTGATTCAGGAAAAAAAGATCCTTTCAGGCACTGCCAATCCGAAGCACTGGTAATTTCTTCTACATGTTAGGCTATTGTATTAACATATAATGTAAAATTCATCTGCACCAGTGAGAGCAGTACACTGGTTTTAGATGAAACATGTCTAAAATAACTCTATAAGAAGTACTCTTTCAAACGTATTCCTCTTCCTATTTGATTCTTTTTTACTATCGGCTCCTCATGGATCCTCATTGCAATATTAAGAAGGCCATGTATCATCTACCTCCTTGTGTGGCTGCTATTTTCGAAAGATAGCTTCTATTCATGTGGCTGCCATAATAATGTACTCATTTTCTTGAGCAAGCACGTGTTGGTTCTGTTGACCTGAATCAGTTAGTTCCAACGAATGTATTTTTAATCCACCATTTAAAATTCTTAGCACCCTATAATCACTGATTTGGAAGCTAGAAAAAAAACAGGAAGACAGTTATTATTGGTAACTTCAAATTGGTTCTATTAATTAAATCTATGTTAGGTCTTATAAAACCATGAGAGATGCATGTTGTATGCATGATAAATTTTAAGTACAACTCCATATGAAAAACTGTACAGCATCTTCAGTTTTCCACTATTTCCTCTTGCTTTTCTTACCAAGGGACAACCATGACTGCATGGTAGTTCTGTTGGATAACTGAGTTAGTGCTTCCGCACCATATTAATACCATTTTTGTCATTTCAGTATATATATAGGTTGTTCAAATGCTTATGCTGGATTTGTGTTGATTGTACCCTAATATGAATCGGGGATTTATCTTTGGTTTCCCACTTCTTCCTTTTCTCAGCAAGGGACAAATATGTGTGCATGGTAGTGCTGTTCAATAGGTGAGTTAGCGCTTCCTCACCACGTTGATATCGTTTTTCTCATTCCAGTATATAGGTTCGTCCCAGCAGACCTTTTTACTGGTAACAGACCAAGGGGTATCTCTAAAATGCCATTAATTGACAGCATTGCTGACAAGCCCTGGTATTGCTTCCGATACTCTATCGTCAGGTCTTCTTGTGGTAGATTACCTGCCCTTTATTTATCTGATGTTGTGAACAATTCCATTTTTAATTATTTTCGTAACACATTATTATGATACTATGCAACATGGATGGCGTCGTATCCAATGAAGTTTGTTTAGTTTTAAGAGTGAGAGTGTGAACCATATTGGAATTAGAATTAGTTACTACACGGAGTCCCTCATTGATCTAACTATTGATGAACGTAGAGGCCGATCATTTCTTTTGGTCGCATCATCTTATATATTTTCTTGAAGAAAAAGTAGTCTCATATAAAAGAAAATTTCTTTGATCTTATGTAACTATGCTTCCAACTTGGTCTGTGCATGATCATGATATAGGCATAAATATTGACAAGCTGCAAAAAAACCATTTTCGAATTGTTTTAGATGTAATTTAATATACCAAGATGAGATAAGTTTGCTATTGTACCCCTGTTCTTTTATCTTTTTAATTAGTGAATAATTTTTAAGCCTAACTTTAGAGAGAAGCTACTCAATGTGCATGGTGTAGGGACGCCACAATTGTCATAGCCTCTATTATGAAATCGTTCTTAAATGATACTATTTTCTATTTTCTAAATAATGGATCATATTTATGCAGACCAATCTGAGGCGATAATATTCTTTGTCAGATGGGAGCCTAAAAATGTTGACACAATATTTTGCTGATAAATAATAGATCTGGTCTTATAGGAATTTTCACTGCATCCCCAGTCCGATATTTTTACCACATTGTAATCAAGATTTTGTTACTCCTATAATCCTGGACTCCATATTTTTACTACATTGTAATCAAGATTTTGTTATTCTTATAATCCTGGACTCGATAAATACAGATATAATGTACTGGTGCTTGCAGAGTTTGCAGAGTTTATATATTGGTGTTGACTGGTGTGCCTTGCAAACTTTTCGTTTTTGCTCTTTTGTCTAGCGACCATGTTCAATATATATAGATACCATCCAGTTATTCCTGATTATGTTATAAATCGTGAATGGTTTTATTCTGTCACAGCTTTTAGTCAAAAAACCAAGACCAAATTTCTTAATCAAGACCAACCAAATGAATGCCAATTCGGTCACAGCTTTTAGTCACATGTTTTCTTAATCATGTCTGATGCCATACGACAAGCTAACATTATGCTCATTCACCCGAAAACAACCTACGAACTTTGGATTTCTAAAGTTATTTCGTGTGGTCTGCCGCGTTGCCTGGTGGCGTGGCCTCAAAACCGGCGCTAAATAGAAGGCCATGCATGTGAACGAGCATCAGCTGTGGAATCGTCCATGGAACTAAAAAATTACCGTGGTCAAAGTATCCGCACGACTTTAGTTAGGAGCGACTTGACCGGGTGCCGACGCAAACGCCACGGCTTTGCGCACAAAACGCGATCAGTGGGACTTTGAGACCTGAGAGGATGGATGGATTCTGATTCTGTCAGCAGCAATCGTGACACGCAGCGTAATCTTGGCAACGCACCTAGTTAACCTATAGTTAAATAATTAACCTGCCCATTACGTCCGACTCGGTCAGTTCAATAACACGTGAGCGTCACAGAATACCATGTTATCTTTGTTTGTTTTAGAATTTTAACTGAGATCACATCAGGGTGAGCCGCGAAGGTCAAGCGGGTAAAAATGAAAAATCGAAGCATGCTGCAGCACGGTGTCAACTGTCAACGCGCTGGCGACCTCGACAGTTACCTACTGCGTAGTATCCATTACTGTTCATGTTCCCTTTGTCTCTTTGAGGCCTGATTTAGTTCTAAAAATTTTCACCCTAAACTATCACATCGAATCTTACGGCACATGTATGGAATATTAAATATAGATGAAAAAAATTAATTGCACAGTTTGATTGGAAATCGCGAGACGAATGTTTTAAGACCAATTAGTCCATGATTAGCCATAAGTGCTACAGTAACTAATGCGTTAATGATGAATTAATTAGGCTTAATAAATTCGTCTCGTAGTTTCCAACGAGCTATGTAATTAGTTTTTTTATTAGTATCCGAAAACCCCTTCCGACATCCCCGAAACATTCGATATGACATCCAAAAATTTTCATTTCGTGATCTAAACGCAACCTAAATTTCCCAACCACCTGCCGGGCAGAATCACCCAAGTTCAAACTTCAAGAGCAAACAGATCATTATCCGTCACCTGAAAACCAATTTCCTGTATACTTTTACTTTTACACGACTATTTGGAACAAATGCGTCCCGAAAAATAAAAATTCCCAAGAATCCTTTAGCATTTGCCAAAAGGAAGGGAAACGGGAAAAGAGGTCTGAACACATGACGGCGTGCGCTCCGAAAGTTGAAATGCCGTAGAAACGTTCAACACCACGAGCCACCCAGCCCACCACCAGCACACAAGCAGGGCGGAAAAAACGAAAAAGCTTCAAGAACACGCGCGCCTTCCTCCCGTTCACTCCATTCGATCCTGATCATCGCCGCCTTCCTCCCTTGTTCCGGCCCGGCGTGCCGCGTGCGTGCTTCCCCACCACTCCACCTGCCGCGATCCGCCACCTAATAACCAACAAAAACCGCCTTCAACTCCAAGCTCCCGCAGACGGCTCCAAAACCGAACCCGCCGCGCTTGTCTGCACGCAACTCGACCGCCTCCAAATCCCGATCCTCCTCCCGCGACACCGACAGCGATGGAAGTGAAGCCGCACACGGCACGGGTCCTGGTGGGCCGCCTGCACGGCGCCACCGCGGCTTGCGACGGGGCCGCGGCGGCGGCGGCGGTGTCCGAGATCCGCCTCGCCTCCAAGGAAGACCCCGAGATCCGGGCGCCGCTAGCGGACGCGGGCGCGGTGCCCCTCCTCGCCGCGCAGCTCCACCACGCGTCGCCCGTGTCCGTGGACGCGGCGGCCGCGCTCCTCAACATCTCCATCTCGGCGCGGGACCAGGTGGCGACGGCTCCCGGCGTGCTGGACGCGCTGACGTCGGCGCTGCGATCCGGCCACGCCGCGCACCACGCAGCGGCCGTGGTCTACAGCCTCCTCTGCGGCGGGGAGTCCCACCGCGCGGCGGTGTGCGCGCGGCGGCCGCTGCTATCGGCGCTGGTGGCGCTCCTCCGCGCGTCGCCCAAGCCCAGCACGCGCGCCACCAAGGACGCGCTCAAGGCGCTGTTCGGCGTGGCGCTGTACCCGCCGAGCCGCGCGACGCTGGTCTCCCTGGGCGTCGTGCAGGCGCTCTTCGCGCTGGTGATGACGGACGAGCGGAACGGCATCGTGGAGGACGCCACCGCCGTGGTCGCGCAGGTGGCCGGGTGCGCCGAGAGCCTCGAGGCGTTCCGGTGGGTGTCCGGGGTGCGCATCCTCCTCGACCTCGTCGAGGCGGGCGGCGCCGCCACGCCCAGGGCAAGGGAGAACGCCGCCGCCGCGCTGCTTAACCTCGTCGTCGCCGGCGGCGAGGCGGCCGCGGCTGAGGTGGTCGCCGTCGGGGGTGCTGAGGAGACCGTGCGCGAGCTCGCGGAGGACAGCGCCGCCAGCCCCCGCGGGAAGGCCAAGGCAGAGGCGCTGCTGCGCGCGCTCGAGGGCGCCGGTCCCGCCGCCAGGAGGCGCGAGCACCGCCTCTCCGATTTCCTCGACGGCCTCGTGCAGTCCGATCCCTACATCTCGTCGCCGGCGTCGGCGTCCACGCACGGCTAGTCAAAGGCTGACGTTTCTGGTTTGAGTTTGATTTAACGACGGTCATCAAATCAAACTCAAACCAGAAACGTTCGAAGTGTAGCTTGGCTAAAAAAATACATAGTCTAATACATTTGTTGATTGATGTGAATACTGGATGTCGTCAAGTTTGTGCAAGATTTGTTCAAACTCTGCCTGCATTCAAACCTTCAAATTAAACCAACCGAATCATAAAAATTTTGGATCTCAGTATGTCACCATGGCCATTAGCATCTCCGTTCTCTGTCTCTCTCTCTCTCTCTCTCTCTCTCTCTTCTTCATGCAAATCCCAACCTCGTTTTTTTCACGGTTAACATGCACATGCGACACACGTGCTTATAAGACATTTGTATTTTTTATTTGCTATTTTCTAGCTTGCTTGTCGTTATCATCTTATCCTAGTATTTCTATGTTTATTTGAAACCAACATTTTTTATTCTTGTATCTGTAAATTTTGTTGTATATAAATTCATTTATTTTTTTGATTTTTCGTTTCAATATATGGGATTTTTTTTGTGAAACATTTGTATTTGTATCCAATTTATTTTTGTTTCGATGAATTCTTTTTCTTTTTTTTTTTTTTCATAATTCTAAATCCGTGGTTAGTTTTTTTAGCAACTTTGTACATGTATATATATATATATATATATATATATATATATATTATTTTCTATTTCTAATTGGACCAAAAGCCCACAGACCCGCTGGTAGCAGCGAGCAGGCCAAGGCCCAAGCTTCCATAATTGCTCCTATCGGCACAAATTTATGTACAGCAGCGCTTCCCAATTCAATGTCTTCCCCATTTCTCTCCAGCTCCTCTCCGTACTCCACCCCAGCTCCAATCCTCCAATCCCGCCATGGTTCCTTGCCATAGATGTCGGGGAACAATACGAGCCAGTCTGAGCACCGCATTGTCAGGGTTAGCCGGGGCTTAGGGCTGGCCACACGCCTGTGTGGCAGGCCAGGGAAGAAGTTGTGCCGTAGAGCACCTCCGTCAATGGCCACGGAGTCAGTAGATCCGCCACGGACGCCGGGCAGGGTGGCTGTGCTGGGTCACACCACGATGCTGCTGGCACAGGCAGGTTGCCGTTGCTAGTCGCGCCTTCGGAGGCCGCCACGGCAGGCCCTCCTTCTCGGCTGCGAGGCGACAAGGGCGCCTTCGGCTCCTACTCGGAGAGTCCAGTGGTGGCTTCAGCAGCTCGCGTCTCCTTGCCGCGCTCTATTTCATGGTAAGTTCAGTCGCTCAGACTCATTGGCTGTCGTAATCTTCCTCATCATCATCTACAGCGGGATTAGCTTTCTAAATAGAGTTGGCATACTGCATTATATATGTAAAAAATACTTTTTCTTTCCAAACTTCGTAAGCAAATTAGCTTTCTAAAATAAGAATTGTAGTGGTGGATCTACAATTTTCAAAAAAAAATAGAAGAAGCTATCTGTGGGGGTATGCCTCCGGTATCCACAAGACATATGGCCGCACCATCAGAGGTGGCCCAGCCCATAAGATCAAGGTGTGCACGGCACTGGTCGACATGCACCGCAAGATATTGTATAGTATCAAATATGATACTTTCCTTGTAATCATACCCCTCCAAAGTATATAAGGAGAGGCAGGGGTCCCTAGTCGACATCTACATACATCCCATATTCAATTCAATACAACAAAGACACAGGACGTAGAGTATTACGTCGGTCAGACGGTCCGAACCTGTCTAAATCGCTCTCTCTACGCCTTGTGTCACCATCCGGTTCCTATCACATGCACCTCCACCGATCAATCTTCCTTCATGGAATACCCCTCGGAGGACTGCCGAGCATCTTTTGTCGTCAGTTGGCGCCCACCGTGGGGCTCATGCGCGCTGATCCCTGGCGAACCAAATGGCGTAACTCAAGATCAACATCCTTCGCGGCAACTCGGCTGATCGCATCGACATCCTTCGACAACCACGGCGCACGTCTTCATACGCGGATTGACACCGCCAAGCTCCGACTACGTCCGTCCTACTCCAACTCGAGATCAACTTCGTTCCAGCTATCAAGCGAGCCGCTAAACGAGCTGCCCGCGTCGCCGACCAGATAACGCCATACGCCGCCGACCAGACATTTTGTCTAAAGCTAAGTCACGCTTTAATATTTTTCTAAATATTCTCCAATCTTCGTATATCGTCATAATGTTTCTCTGAGCTGTTTTCTTCATGTTTGCTCTCCAAACAATTTTCTTTCATGTATACCATCTTAAAGATGATATACAACTAAGTCTAAAGCAAATCCCCGAACAGTCATGTTGATGCTCGGATGATGCTCGGATGTCTCCGTTAGAGTGATCGGCACCTTAGCGACTTTGTTCTCCTCCCTACACAGATAGCGGACTAGAGGGAGGGTGAATAGTCTTTTCTAAAATTAATCCTCTCTTATAAATGCGAATTATCGGGCCAAGACTACACCCTCTATATATATGCTCACTCCTTGCAAAGATACTAATTATGCAACTAAGGTCTAGCACCTTGCAAAGATGCTAAGCTAGCCGAAGCTAGCTTTCTCCTAAACAATTCTAGGAGCAAGGTCACACAAACCTTGTTCTTCCACACGCTAGTAAGCGGGCACAAAGCCAACTAAGCTCACTAGCTCAATAACAAGGCAACCAATGCCTAATTAGAGAGCGCAAAATACTTAGTCAAAATTAAGCAGCTAAGGCTAGAGACTTAGCTACACACTTCTAACACAAGCAAGGGTAACTAGTGGTTTGTATTAAATATAAATACATCTTGTGTAATAACACTAAGTGTTCACATTAACGATCGTCGAGATGCATACGCTATTTCATCACCACTTGGTGCTAATTCTTCTCTGAGTTCATATATTTTACATCATGTACTACCCGTTCTCATATATTTGTATTGTAGGATCATCATCCAGTGATCGGACCACCATCGGCTTGCAGTGCTCGGACTTCAACCTCCACAATCGATCAATCGCTCACTCACACAATCGAATGAAACTATCAAGTATATGTGTGAGGTTCATGTACTTCGTCAAGCGACTAGTTGATCGGATCGTCACGGCCGCTTCTACTCAATGCTCAATTCATCGCCGCACGACCCAGATTGGCCGGACTCGGTCGTGTGTTTCGGACATCGCCAACCACGTGTCTGATTCCAACGGTCGGGGACTCCTCGGCGCCGGACGCTGACATCGCCAGCTATGCTCGGGACTCCTCGGCGCCGGACATCGCCAACTTCTGCGCTTATGTCGATCGGGGACTTTTGGTGCTCGAATCAACTCCAACAACCGCCAGCATGGACTCCTTTTCGGTGCTCGGGCATCCCCCTTGCTCACGCCGAGAACTTCTCGGTGAAAATAGGCTTCTATTTTCGACGTCGCCCGACTAGCCGGGGACTCTCTCGGTGCTCGAAAATGTGCGCCCACCAAGTGTACACCCAGGACTCCATCGGTGCTCGATCCTAGCGACATCGCCTCGACGGCACTAGGACTCCCTCTTGATAGTCTCGGACATCGCCTTCTCTACACACCTATGACCGGGAAATGACTCCTAGGCGCTTGCGCATTCAGATTCTTCAATGTCATGCAACACATGCACCAACACGATCGCCCGGCTAAGCCGAGGACTCCCTTGGTGGTCGGATCTTGCTACGTCTCATCGGTGTGCTTTCAAGCTGCTCCATGCTGTTCGGATCGATTAGTTCAATCTTGTCTTGCTTCACGTTGCTATATCGTCCATCGACGATCTTGGGCCTTTGACTTGCCCTTCACGCTTGCACGTCTGGGTCTTGTCTTGATCTTCGCGCATGATCGATGATCAATGTCGTCTCATGTGCAGCTTTCATCATCACATTTTTTTCTTTCCAACCATTTTCACCTCCATGGCATATGCCATAAGATTCATTCTTTATCTTCCAATAAACACAATTAGTCTCGGGGACTAAGTGGCTACACTTTACGAGCCAGCGGTGAATGTAGTGCTTATTTCTCGATTTACCCTCCTTATTGATAGAGTCTAAGTGGCTACACTTCTTCTAAAGTGGAAGAATTTTATCACCACTTTATCTTGAGCCCCTTACATCCTTCTAGTAAGCCTTACTTGGCCAAGTCCGAGGTCTCCCAACAAGCGGTTAAACTAGTCAAGATTGACTTTCACCGCCTAGGTCATCGCTTAAACTGGTCGACTTCAACTTTCACCATCGCCAGTCACCCTCGGCGCTTAAATTGGTCGGTTTCAACTCCTCCACTTCGGGATCACCGGCTTAAACTCGATCGGCTTCACGACAAACTTCGCTCGGACTTGTCCTTTCAAGACAACGTTGCTCAAAGGATACAAGACGCCGGGGGATTAGCGCCGCCCGATGGGGGTATGCCCCGTATCCACAAGACAAAATATGGGTCGCATCCATTAGAGGTGGCCCATTGTTCAAATCGATCAAGGCGTGCGACATTGATGGTCGACGTCGCAAGCTTTGCACCGCAGATATTCTATAGTACCAAATATGATACTTTTCTTATTGACGGAGTCTAAGTGGCTACCCTTCTCGTGGAAGAATTTTCATATACATCCTTCTAGGAGAGGCTAAGTCCGGTTCACTAGTCGAACATCTACATATATCCCATATTCAATATAATACACCAAAGACACCGCCCGGTCACCGACGTTGGTCGATTATTTCGCTTTTTCGGATCACCAGTCCGAACTCGGCTTCAAATCGATGTCTCTACGCCTTATGTCGCCATCTGGTTCCTATCACGCGCACCTCCACTGATCAATCTACCTTCATGGGATACCCCTTGAAGAACTACCGATCATCTTTTGTCGACACTGTCATAGCAGGATCTGAGCGAACACTCTGAACATCTCATTACTGCAGAAAATAGCAATGATAACCTAGTTCAGTCCAGTTACTGATTGACTAGTTTCTTGTCATCCTGACTGCAGAAAATAGCAATGATAATATAATGTGTTCCCGTATATG